CAGGGGCGGCGCGCCGCGGAGGCCGGGGGGGGGGGGGGGGGGGGGGGGGGGGTGCACCCAGGGAACAGATTCCAGTCTACTGTGTAATATAAGTGCCAATCTGAATACATTACTGACATTCCCTCACGCTGCTCCTGTTGCTCTTCAGTTCTGACATTTATGGCATGCAATACCGATAACGACCAGACCGCCTAAAAGGTGTACTAAGCCTCAGCCAGGGGAACTACAAACCTCAGCGTCCCCGCCACCCTTTATGCGCCAACCACGGGTGAAGACCCCTGACTGGACAAGTCGTTTGGCGGATGAACCCTGTGGAGGGATGGCAGACTCAGTTTTGGAGTTCACGTTTCCTCTATGCCTCTGACCTGGGTTGGCCAAAACACAACCCAACAACTGGATTCCTTCAGGTTCCAGAATATCCTGTGACCATTGGGCAGTGAGGGGTTAACAGGAGAACGCTCACAGCCATCAGAAGGATTTGTTATTGTACCAATTGTCCAACGTGCGGCCGCACGGCAATTCCTTCCTTCCTCTATTTGTAAAGCACCAACATAAATATTATGTAGCAATACCCGTGTTCTATGTCGTATAGTATTTCTTACATCACACAGAGCCACCAACTCTGCACGGCATCACTTCCTGTCCACCTGAACCAGCACCTGGTATAAAGACCTCACAGGTACTAAAGTACTATGGCCAATCTGGTAGAAGGCCAAATCGACCTGCCGCCATGTTCCTGGATTGTACAAGAAAACCCCATAAACATGCCAATCATTCAACCTTCAACCATGCACATCGTGCTGTACGGTCATCTATGGAAGGGAGGGGGAATCGAGGAAGTTCTGCCAGTGAAGGGACGGGAATGATAATGGCGGATCTCCCACTGGACGCTACTCCCAATAAACATTCTATTGGCCCATGCACTATACAATCTACTTGTACAATCTCCTTCAGATTTACCAAAACTTTGTAATCTGACAGCAAAACTAAACAATCCATTCTATAAGTATCAAATCAGACAGCACCTCCTCCCAGCACATAACTGATGGTAGATCTTAAAAGCGACACTAAACTCCGGAGTTAAATCTTAAAAATCCATCCGAGTCCCCGAACTCTGAGCAACAATGTATCTTATTTGTGTATCACTCGGCTGGAGATCCTCCAATCATCTCTGACACTGTCCTTCCTTCTGGACGGGGGCTACGTCTGTTCCCCATGGTCCCTGTGTGTGTTGTAGAGTAGTCACCGCTATAAGCTCACTCCTGTGATGGACTACAATCTCACGTTGAGTTTCCTGATTTGTATTGAGATTGTAGTCCATCCCGGGAGCGAGCTTGGACTGGTGACTACATTACAACACACACAGGAACATACACACACACCCACCGAGATCGCTCCTTGCCAGGGCCAACGATAACTCCGATCAGATCTGGATGGGATACTCTGTTTGCATTAACAGTTTTTGTGGACGAACCTTCGTCCCAGCAGGACTGACATGTGGAAGATTGTCCTGAAACGTGGACTGTTGGTGGAGATATAACAAGTATCACATACGGATCAATGTGTATTATTATTATCAGAGCAGCGATACAATCCCGATACATGTCAGGACGTCTATAGACCCCTATGACTCAGACTGGGAGCTCACCTGCGGGAACTTAACATTACATAATCATGGATAGAATATAAAGAAAAATGTACGAACCGTCAGACCCCTCACAGTGAAGGACGCAGATGGAGATTCCGCAGGCGGCAGAGACTTCAGGTGACACCAGAAACTCAGCAGTGCGGGGACAGCGCTCAATCGTACAAACGTCAGCACTCCAAAGCTGAGGCTCCTCTCAGAAAGTCTCGATATCTGTCCCGGTTCTCAGAAAATCCAGCAAATTCTGGGAACTGATCATTTCCTGCACACCCATAAAAGAGGCGACTGGAAGGATTCCGGAGCGGAGAGCCCGAGGGAGACACTTACCTGGCCAGAGCAGGTCCTGCTGGGAATATTCGGGGATCGGCAGGGGGTCTCTTCTCTCTCTTAATGTCCAGAGGTGGGAACTGGATCTTCAGGTTTCCCCAGGACACGGCGAGGAGGAGGGGCTGGGATCTCTCCACTGATTCCTGTAGAAGAAAAGTGCAGAGTTACAGGGAGGGAGGAGAAGGCTCAGACTGCCATCAAGTGCTAGACATAAAGATTCCTCTATCAAACCAGGAAAAAAAAAGAATAAATATGAAGCTGGCCCGGAGCCGTCGCCCGCCAGGAATCCGATCTGGTTGCTGTTGGAGAAATTCCCCCTTTTCCAGAAATCAGCACATTGCGGACATTCGCTTTACACACAGAAGATACATTTTATATCCGCTCCGTATAAACGGAACTTATGCTGCAAGTAAAACAAAACAGAAACTGAAGCCGCTTATATCTCATTCACTGGGAAATAAAAATAAGGAATTGGGTTGCTATGGGCAACAGCCAAACACCAAACCTGTCATTTTTATACCTTGTATTTTGAACTTTGCATGGAATTTACAACAATAAAGTTGTCATTTGTTTGATACATTTTGTATAACTCAGAATCGATACTTTGACCTGTTCGGTGATCTGCTCCATGAAATGAATACAATCATCTGACCACAGGAGAACAGGACTGCACCCTGGTGTGGTCAGCATCCAGGACCGGGTCAGTGTGTACGCCGGTGTTACAAGCTCCGCCTTTTCCTTCCTCACTTGTCACATGACTGTAGATGTAAAATTTGAAGGGGATTTCCACTATAAGGCCGGGCACACACCTTACAACCATCGCAAGACTTTTGTCTTGCGATGATTGTAAAGTACTTAAAAAAACGTACGATCTGCCTATCTTGCATAGGCAGATCGTACTTGCGATGATCACAAGCCACGCCCCCTGAGGGGCGGGCTTCCGATGACCGCAATGCCGAACGGGCAGTGTGCGCTTGCGCACACCGGCCCGTACGGCTGTTATGGTACGGACATGCCACAAACCCGCCGAACATCGTACGATGCTCGGCGGGTTTTCGAACATGTCCGTAAGTTAAAAGTCGTGCGACCGTACAGCAGTAGAGGTCGCACGGCTTCCACACACCTTACGGTAATCGTACGATCGCAGGATTTCCCGCCATTATCGTACGATTATCGTAAGGTGTGTGGGGGCCTTAAGACTCCGGCTACTTGTGTGATTGATCTCTTTGCTACTGAGAGATTGCGTGCATAGCAGTGGGGGGAAGGGATGGTTTACCCTTGAACATGTGACAATTGCACCAAAGAGGTAGTTTTCCATTTATGACAGGGGTCAGCAACCTCAGCACTCCAGCTGTGGTGAAAGTACAAACCCCATCATCCTTTTGGGAGTCATGCCTGTGGCGGTCCGAGTCTTGCAATGCCTCATGGGACTTGTAGTACCACAACAGCTGGGGTGCGCTATGATGTGTCTTCTACCCTTTGCATGAGTTGATTGAGAGCACAGGCGGCCCGATTGAGGGCCAATCATTTTCCAGGAGCAGAGCAGTTACAGACCGGATCAAAACTGCGTCCAATGTATTCCAATTGTATTTTGGGCTCTAGTTCACACCGCAGCGTTCAGTTCCAGAGCATTTAAAAAAAAAACTGCAGCAAGCCCTATTTCACCTGCTCTGGAACGCATGCAAAGGCATAAAAAACGCAGTGCAAACGCCCTGGAACGCACTGAAAGCCCATTTTAAACTAAAACAACTTGGAACGCATCAAAAATGCGGCAAAAAAACGCGGTATAACACACTGCGCTGCGTGTGCAGAAACCCATGCAGATCTGGTCTGCATTTGGTGTGCACAATCCCTAGTGACGGGAGGGCGCTAGTTTGTGTCCTCCCGTTACCCTAAGGAGAACTATGGGGAAAAGCCCCGACCCCATAGTTCTCCATTAAGCATAATCCCAGCCGGCTGAAAGGCAAAGGGGGACCTGCTGTTGTCAGAGCTTCTTTTCAGGGGGGGTCTAACTTTAAGGTGAGCAGCATTTTAAGAGCGGGGATCACTAAGAGGTGCAAAAGTGGGGGGGCAGAAGATGCACTTATGAACGATGGTGGGAACCTCCTGTTGTTGAACTGCACAGGATACCATAAAAACCTCACAAAATCTGTTTTTGGACATTTATTGGACATTTATTATGATGTTGGTCACAATAAAGACCGATGAAGTATACGCATGGAAAAAAAAAAAAAGGATTTACTGTTGATAACTTTCACATAAAACTCCAGCTGGCTCCATCTGCGATGTTCTGGCTGCCCCCAGGAATCGGAAGCATGCAGAGGTTTGCTGACATTTTGGAGAATCTCTGCGACCGGTCGCCTGTGTCCTTCCCTTTTCTCCAGAGAAGCCAGGACCCTTCTCCTCCTCAATGAGCTCCACATTCCGGGCTACAGCTCGGGAGGAATTATCAGGGCTCGTTCACACCAATCGCGATCCAGGAGCGGAGCAGTTACAGACCGGATCAGAACTGCATCCAATGTATTCCAAATGGTATTTTAGGCTCTAGTTCACACCGCAGCGTTCAGCTCCAGAGCATGTAAAAAAAACTGCAGCAAGCCCTATATTACCAACTCCGGAACGTTTGCAAACGCCCTGGAACTCACTGAAAGCCCATTTTAACCCCTTCATGACCGAGGCCTTTTTTCATTTTTTGCACCCATGTTATATTCCACATTTTAGTGAAATGTGAAAATGACTTAAAACCCCCAAACATTATATATTTTCTGAATGCCAAGACCCTATAGAATAAAATGGTGGTAGTTGCAAATTTTTATGTTGCGCAATATTAGAGCAACTCCTTATTAAACCCGAACATGTAGTGAAAAATGTAATTAAATGCCCCAAAACACAAAAAAATACAATTTTTTTAAATGAAATATAAAAGATGAGGTTACAACGAGTAAAACGATACCCAACATGCCCAGTTTACAAATTGCGTGCGTCCGTGAAACGGCGAAAAACTGCAGTACCCCATAAAGTCCATAGAAGGCGCTGTGCCCGATAAAGCAGTCAGAAGACACAGGAGCAGCCACTGGTATTTCCCGTCTTTACCCTGCAGCCGATCTTTTCCCCATTACTGACTTACCATGTATTGTTCTGCCCCGCTCTGGGGAGTGGAATGTGGTGGCGG